CCAACAGCACCTGCAGGAGATGGGGAAAGCAACTTCCATGAGGGAAGGCTAAGGCACGGGGAACAGACAGAAACAGTCTACAAGGAATTTCATAGTGCCAGTGCCTCCCTGCACGGATCTCTTGCTGTAGCTCATTGCAAGAGCAGCTGTTGTGGTCAAAAAATAGGCTAATGCAGACACCCAACCTGAAAAAGAGGATGGGTGCTGCAATATAAGGCACTTCTGAGTCTGTGAGGGTGAATAACTGTCACTATTTGTGCCCAGCCCTGCTACGGGCACCTCAACCTAAATTCCAACAGGTAGAAGATGCTCTGTGGCCGGGTGATGCCCCCGCAGAGGGCGGGGACCACAGGACGGCCGGTTGCTCATCCAGGGGAGCTGACCTGCTCCCGAGGCTCTGCCCAAGGGACTTTGGGCCCCTCTCCGGGACCCGAGCGGCCGCAAGAGGGAGCCCGGCGCCCGGGAACCAGCGGCAGCTCCGGGCGGTACCCCCGCCCCAGGGATGACGTCACCGCCCGCGGCCCCGCCCAACGCCTGCATCATCGGCATCGGCATCAGCAACGCGGGAGCGTTCGCCGGCCGCAGTGACTGTGAATGAGGGTGAAGGGTACGTCCAGGAGCAGGGGATGACAGGAGAACGGGTCCCAGGGCAGGGCCCGGGCAGCTGATGGCTTTATCACGGGTGACTCCACAAAACCACCCTCCCAAAAACATGGCACTCTTTGGGAACAAGGCCAGAAGTGTCACGGCCAGCCCCTGCCACCATACCAACACTCCTGTTCACTCCTAGTTTAATGAGCAATTTTAGCTCAGAAAGGTGAACAGAATCACTGCTCCCCACAACCTGGGTACTAGGTCCAACCCTACCACAAGCACTGCAGCCATTGCTTGGGACCAGCCTCAGGTTAGTCAGAGCATTCCTCCAGGCCCAGCAAAGCTCAGTTTTAACCTTATCTTTTAAGTTCTGATTCAGGCTCTTCCAAAGCTCTGCTCTGATAAAGTCTCTGTTGACCTTATTGAAGCTCTTATCCCTCATACATGATGAATGGCAAAGCTTTAACACAAGCAGCTCTTTACATGGCACCTGCCTTTCTATAAGGATATTTATTATGCTTCCCCCCATTTTCCCTGCATGTATTGTGGTAACTCCTGTCTTCCATGTGCTTTTATAAGCCTTCCACAGCATTTTTAAAGCAGGTTTATATGACACTGTCATCAGCCACAATTACTGCAGCTACTCCTATGAGGAGTTCCTAAAACACACTGCTAATTTCAGCAGGGGGCATGGGGAAAAGAATCAACAACAAAACAAACCCAAAACAATCCACACACAAAACCCACCTAAACAGAGCAAAAAACCCACCAAAACTCTCACAGCACAAGCAAACCCCTCACCTTCTGTCCTCTGGAGTCAGCCAAACAGCAAATGCTTCTGGGCTCCTACTTAAGCCCTTCAGCAGCAATGGGGTGGGGGAACTGTTGGCAGATTCCCAGCATCTGGGAGCCATTTCACCCCAGAGCAGGCTCAGCTGCTCTCTAATCCTTAAAGAACCCAATACACCTGACACTGTCCTGCTGCTCCCTGAAGCTGTCACCATCTACATCTTTTCAGTCCCTCGCAATACTCTTACAGTTCTCCCAGCTACTCTTTGAGCAGTCCTTTTACACGTCCCCATAGCTCAGCCTTCCCTCCTGTACTCAGTTTTGGGCCCTACCACAGTACAAGAAAGGCAATGAAAAACTGGACTAAGTTCAGTGAAAAGCCGCCAAAAGAATTGGAGACTGAAGCTCTGCAAGAAGAGGCAGGGGGAGGTGGGCTTGTTCAGTCTGGTGAGAAGAAGGCTGCAGGGGGACATAGGAGGAGCCTGCCAGTTAACAAGCAGGTTAGAGAGCACACCGATCCAGGCTCTCATGGTGGAGATGAGACAATTGAAAGGACAGAGATTGAAACCAGATACAAGGAAAAACTTCTTTACCATGATGACAGTGAAACCCTGGGACAGGTAACCCAAAGAGATGGTGCACGCCCCACCCTGGGAGGTTTTCAGTTCTAGACTGGATAAAGCCCTGAGCAACCTGATGGTACCTCACAACTGACCCTGCGTGAGCAGGAGGTTGTACCAAAGTGCCTCCCAACCTGATCCAGCCTGCCTTCTCTTAGGGAAAATGGGGTGAAGCAAAATGATAACCAAGTCCAGAGCTTCCTCTTCAGCAGGGTTGTGGGAGCCCTGCATTCAGCACCACCACCCTAGGATCATCCCATGGCAGCTAGAAAAGCCTTGTCAAACACTGTGAATGTCAAGGGAAAAAAGTAGGACAAAGGACTCAACTGAGTTGCGACAATGACACGTGCCTGTGCTGGGGGAGGAGGAGGAAGTGGTAGAGCACACAAGTTAAATGGGCCAAGAGCCTGGACACAGTAATCTATCAGCTGCATCACCGGCAGAGCGAAGCTGTGAGATGGCAATACATCCTTCCCCTTCTGCCATGTGCATAGCCTGGTCACAGGAGGGTGCTCAGGTGTGAGCGATGGCTTCTTTCAGTAGGAGCAACCATGCACAAATTGAATTCTTCCATTATTTTAACTGCCAAGAGGGACTGAGCTTGCTGCAGGGAGCGCAGGGACCTCATTCTGCTGCAAGGGGCAGTGGCAGAGGTGCTGGGGCAGGTCCCACCCCAGCCTCTGCCCCTTCCTCCCTAGGCAGAGAACAAGCTGTGAAGATGCTCATGTTACCCTGTTATCCAATTATCTTTCATTCACCTTTCAAAGCTGTCAAACCCCCCCCCCCCCCAAACAAAAAAAACCAATACAATTGAAAAGGTGAAGCAAGGAAATCTGTTGGCCTCTCCTGAGGAGGAAATATGGGAAGTTTTCTGGACTGGGGGAATTAATTTCCTCAAAAGAGACTACTCCCATTCTCCATTTCCCCAGCACAGGTGCAGGAGATAGCAGTTGTGTCTGTAGAGGTACATTATTTACTATTTGATTTGGAAAGCAAAATGCAGGATGGTTGTCAAGTAGTGAACTCCTGGAGTTTGTGTTCTCTTGTGATCTTACCTTGTTATCTCAGCCTCCTCCAGATTAAAACGGATTAGATACAGGAATATGCTGTGAGCCACTGAGGGTCATCTCAGGCATAAAGATGTTCCATACCCTCTCACTCATTAAAATGTCAGTTTCCATCTTAAAAATGGGGTGGGTTTGCTCCTGTACACTGAATATGGTGCTGATCCAGAGCCATGCAACATAGTAGGATCATCTAAGGATAAGTCAGTAAGGAGAGGACATGGGGAGGTCACCCTGCTCCAAGCGGGAAGAGGAAGGCCCTCCCACTTTCCCAACAGGTCCTTCATGACCATTTGTCCTCATGCAGGAGATGCTGCTTGCTTCCCTCGATCTTGTCCATGTTCTGGATGTCTTGCTGTTGAATTCACCACTGTAACATCTGAATGTGAAACCAAGCAGGTGTACTTCCCCTGGCTGTACCAACTGTGATACAGAGATGTTAAGTCTGCTTCCAAGAAAACATGGAAGATTTTGCAAGAATCCAGTAGGTTGGGACGGGAAAAACATCAGGATCAAAGACAGCTGGTCCAAAAGAAGCTCCAAAACAGCCAACATGGAATTTTGCCTGCATGGTTTAACCGCTGCCGCCTGCATCCTGCCTGTAAAGTTACCAAATGACAAAGGATTTGCCAGAATTGGCATCACAAATGTGAATTATCAGAAGAGAAGCCAGCATTAGGTGTGCTGAGAGCATTGCTAAGACCTCTCTTTTCAGGCATTGCACACCAATTGAGTTCAAAGCCTGGATTGTGGCATGATAGGCAAACACTCCAGCTCTGTCCAAACAAGGTCCAGAGGTTTAGATGCTTAGCATTTAGGTGCTTGCAAAACATGTTGACCCCTGAGGCTCATGATAAAATCTAAAGCTCCCTTTGAAAGTTAAGTGTTTAACATGAAGGAGCTGGTGTCCCATTGATCTGCTGCCAATGTTTTAACAAGGGGATGCCACAGCTATTTCCCTGTGTGAATTTTGCTCAGTGAATGGGGAGAGACTATAGAATTCATTTTCTCATGTTTGCACAAAGGAGGAATTTCCAGCCAGCACCAAGAAGAGAGAGGGCAGCAGTGTAAAATGTAAAGAAAGGAATAAAGCCTACGTGCATTAAAACCTGTAAATAAATACAAATACTGGTGCGTGGAAAATCAGGGTCTGTGTACGATGCAGGGGGAGTTTATCCTAGAGATGGGGAAGGAAGCCCACAGCTCTTCTCCAGGGAATATGTTTGGGGTTTTTTAACTATTGACACTTTATGCAATCTAGTGCTCTTCTAAATACAATTTTATTAGCATGAGAAGCCAGTGGCTGCAGGAAATTAATGCTGGTGAGTTCAGCTTCCAAGACAAAGCATTCTCTTAGAAGGAAGAAGAAAGAGACCGATTTGGAAAGAAGAGCCTTGCAGCTTCTGCCTAAAACCAGCCTCCACCTGCCATCTTCTTGTTGCAGGCTTAAATGGAGCAATATTCCCTAGTCTCAGCTTGCTTGTCTCTGGTTTCCAAAGGAGATGAGGCATATGCAGTCACGCTGTTTACCAGCTCTCCTGTCACCCTCCCACAATAACCTCTGAGAGAGGAAAGAACATGTCTACGGAGGCTGGGTAAAGAAGAAAGGCGCCCGCTGTCACCCACCCGCTGGGATGGGGAGAGCTGGGCAGGAACCCATGAGGTGATTGCACTGCTTGGCTGCCCAGCAAGCGTGTACCAATTTGCCAGGCAGGATGGGACAGAAGAACTGCTGTGGACAGGAGGACACAGCCCATGGGAGCCGTGGGAATCGCTGCTCCGGCACAGGGAGCGCCTTGCTTCCCGGGAGGAGGGTGATGTAATACCATGGTATAGCAAAGCCATGCATTAGGCTCCAGCATGGTTCTATCAAAGCACTTTCCTGGGAATTGCAGAAAAAGGAATCCAGCCAAAGAATTGTGCTGAGCTTTATTTTATTGAGCAGAGATGGTGGAGATGAGGGCAAGCTGCTCTCCTGCCCTTGAACAGGCGTCTGTGGCTGTTGCTGATGGGGGGTCAACTCTTGCTGCTGGGTGACAGTGAGGACTCAGCATTTCCCCACGTGCTTCAATCTTATTTTCCCTCCGCTTCTCCTGTAAAGGAGCAAGACAGTTTTAGACAAAGCAGTGTAAGACAGATGCAGCAGTGTGGGACAATGAGCTCATCCTTCTGAACAGGACCATTTGCCTGACTCACGCTAGTGTACCCTGGTGCCTCACAGGCAACATTAAGCCATTTTCTCCTCTCCTTACTCCTCTCAGATTCCCCTAGGATAAGGCAGCCTTGACTGTGCACCAAAGGTTAAGGACTTCTAAGGAAAACTCAGTATTTTTGAAGCACATTCAGTCCAAGCATGTGGCTACAATTGCATCTTCTTTAGAAGGTGACAGAGCTCAGCAAAAGGAGAAACTCAGGTTCCTCCACTGAGATTTTATGTCTTGTTCCACAAAGTCCATTCAGACTTTTCCGGAATAATTTGGCACAGCTCAGCTCCCGCATTCCTCCCAACACTTCTCAGTATCCAGAAGAGTGGGCAGTGAGAGTTGCAGCCTGTGGCATATAGTGGGAAATGTGCATCAAATTAGTGTGTGCAGAAGGTACAGGCAGGATGCAATTGCCTCCCAGGCCCCGTGCTGCCTCTCAGCATGGCAACCAGCAGCGTGCAAAGCCTAGAAATGAATTTAAATTAACTTGCATTCACACAGCTTCATTCTAAGGAGGAAATATTCCACTTGCATGATGCAGGGGCTGCTCCCTACAAGAGGAGCAGCCTGGATGCAGGGCATCCCCTCCATAAAGAATATCATTACGTATGTGGAAGGAGCTAATTCTCTGTTATTTCAATCTCCTTTGCTTTCACTTACAGCACTGCCTTGCAGAAAGCACACTTGTTTCCATATGTGATGCCATCCGTGCCACAGTGAGGGTTGGACTCCCTTGTGCAGTACACGCTTCTATTTACGAACTCTCTACAAATCTGCAAAAGGAATAACAAAGCACCCTTTCAGGACTCTCATAGTCTTTCTTTCACTTTCCAAATTGGATAAAGGTCACAATACAATGCCTTTTCTGCCAAAAGGACTGAAGCATCAGTGATGACACTACCTATTTACTGAAGGAAAAAGCCCTGTCAGAAAGGAGCGGAAGCAGTGTTTCAGAGGAACTTTTGCCACATATTTGGGGAGGGAAACTACAGTCACCTGAGAGAAGTCTTGATCTCCTGAAGACAGGAGTGGATTAGCCTAGGCATGCAGGAGAAGAGTCAGCACGGATGCTCTTTCAGGCATTTGGCACCAAGTTAGCTCAATGCTGTATGGCTTCATGCACCTTGCGAAACCGTGCATTCAGTGTGGTGCTTGCTGAGCTTTCTGCCTTCCCAGTGAAAGGAGAATAAAACCATAGTCTATTTGGAATCAAAACTGGTGTCCATGAAATGTACAGGTACTTTGTCTCTGGACCTTGTTTGAAGGGGTAGAACACTCTCAACAGTCCATTTGTTTCATGAGAAGATCAGAGCAAAGCAGACAAAAGTGGTGCTGTGTATAAACACAACCCTGTGCAAGCACCCTAGACCTAATCATGATAAGCATTTGCTAAACCAACCATCTATTTCCTTCACCTACTTGCTAATGTGGCCACACATAACATCTCTGGTACTATGATGAACTCCCCAAACTGTTGGAACTTCTTGGAAGCACCCGCCTGCTCCCAGCAGATATTAGAACCTCTTTACCATGCACCAAGATCTTACAAACCCATTCCTCCAGACAGTGCAGATTCAGTAAGCAGAGAACTGCGCTAACCTCTTCAGTGTCTTGACCTGCAACATCTGGAATAAGGGAAAAAAGAAAAAGAGAAAAACAAATGGAGATTTTCCATTTCAGCATTATTTTCTAATGGAGGCTGAACTAAAGCCACAAACCCTTTATGCAAACAGTGAAACACACACCAGGTTTTTCCTACTCTGTCATTTGGTGCGGCGGAGGAGGGGGCAGGAAATGCATTATCTGAATTGCTTTTCAGTATTTTGCTTTTTTGAAAAATGTTACTAAAATACCATGTAATCAGTCATTCAGCTGCTAACTGCACCTCAGACACATAACCCAATCTCCTGGAAGGCAGCCACTCCCGGGAAAGTGAGCTGCCATATCGGATCTGGAGCCGCACTCTACAGAGATTTTAAAGCCATATTGACTTTTAGGGCTTTTAAGCTCCTGCGCCTCTGAACAATGAAAATGGCTGGTACTGTTAACAAGAGGGTACTGTGCAGAAGAAGGAGACCCCCCCATGCTCAGCTTTACAGCCATCCTCAGCACAGCACAACCCAGAGACTCTCCCCAAAACAAGTTTGTCCTGGGCAAGATACAAAGAGATGTCATGGGGTGACACAGAGCAGAACAGGGACTGCTGATCAGTAAGAGTGCAAAAATACACACTGTAAGACTCTGGGCTTGAAGCCGATCCGTTCATCTTTTGTATATTTCTGCACTGCAAGATGCAGCCAGATGCATAAGTTGAGTTCTTGTTGTGAGGCTGAGCAACCCTCTCATGTCTCTAAGGGGGAGCCTAATGCTCAAGGGTGGGTTGAATGCAGGTTTGCAGAATTTAGGTCACAACCCTGGGGAACAAATAGCCAGCATCTCGCACAGGAACAGAGATTCAGCAGTGAGGCCACTGCCCACTGTGGTGGTGCTCTGGGCAGGAGATTGGAGGAAGCTGTCCTACACTTGGGCTCCCACAGACTGGAAATCCCACCCAACCCAGTCAGCTAGAACATCATCACCCATCAACCCACCTGACTTCTGCTGGTTGTATTGCTCTTTGATGTTTTATCCCTGGCGCTGGTGTATTTATCATGTCCCCAGGTTAGGCCGAGCTGGCTTAATTGTAAAGTCACTGTTATGGCTATTTGCATATTATTTACAAAATAGCTCATTAGATAGTTTTTATAAATATTACATGTGGCTACAGAAGACTTTGTGATGATGTCTCTTGACATCTGTTTATTTTATAGGAGATCACAGAATTTGCTGCTATTCTGCCTGGCCTTGGAAGGAAGCTCCAGCACTCTGACAGAACCCAGACCCAATTAAAACTCAATTAGAGACAGATGAATATTTCATAATGAATAATGTGTACAAAGTAATTCATCTCTTTTCTCCATGCACAGCTTGCCATTTTCTCAAGTGAATTCTTTATTCAAATTATTCACAGAAAAACAAGTAGCAATAATTCTTGTTCTGCATGCTCTTCAATAACTGTCACCACAAACCTTGCAGAGCTGGGTCAGCTGGCCATAAGTAATTGATAACACTGATGTGACCTATATGTTCAAAAACCATCACTCAGCTTCCCCAGATCATCCGAGAGATGTGTAAATCTCCAGATAAATAAATGCCGGCTCCTTTTAATTTGCCCTCTTTGCTCTGACTCCTTGAGGACATTTGAATTTAATTTTAAAGCTTTTCTCTGCCACATAAAGGAAAGCTGAAACTTTCATCTAATTACGTTTCCACATCTCCAAGGAAAACACCAGTACCAAGACGCTTAGGATCAAAACAAGAGCTGATGACCCTGAGGTGAGTGAGTTTCTTCTCTAACTGGTTCAGCAAAACTCTCCAGTGAACATCTGCACCAAAAAAACCCTCATCGTTACGCTCTGCTTCAGTACATTTGTTGAAAGAGCAGCTTAGGATTTGCTCGCTGTGTCTCCCAGTGACACCTCCACTGCGTTATTCACTGCGGAGGCACACGAGGAGCGGAAATATGTCATACGAGTGAGCAAGTCCCACAGATATTTTCTACTTGCTCAGCTTTATCTTCAAGCCTGTCATCCGGTGATCAAGGCTCTCTCGAATTTGCTGTTGTCAGGAAAGGTTTGGGATCTGTTTTTCTTTTCTAGGCTAGGGAAAACATCACTTACCCGAGAAGAAAGAGAGCAGCAGCAGGCTGAGAAGCACTAAGGCACCTGTTGCCTTCATGCTGCAGGTAGCTCTTTAGTCCAAGCCAAGCGATGTGTGCAGGAGGTGTCGTCTCAGCACTGGAGGCCACAGTGCACACACAGACCTGCCTTTCTGTGTATTTATGCGCCCATCCGTAGCTGTCCTCGTTCTCCACCTTAATTGTGAGAACTTCACTTCATTTCTAAAGCCATTATTGGTCCTGGCCTTGTTTATGGTGCTTTAGGAATGCTGCCCTGTCCACATCAAACCTAGAAAGGGATAATTATATGAGTGATAGATAGGCTTGTAATATCTTCTTTCTTTTTTATAATCTAAATAGTCACAGGATTCTCACAAGGGTGAATTTTCAAAGCAGTGATTCATCGGGGAAGCTGGTAATTTTCATTCTCTGGGCCCTCACTGAATGCCAGCTCTGAGGCTTTGAGTGCGGCGTGATGACACTCACTAGACGTTACGAAATAAATCACACCATGAGAATGTGTTGTCTGTGAAACCAATTATACGTTGTTCCCTGGCTATTTTTGAGGATGGATCTAAATATGTTGGGTTGGGGTGGAGAAGCGCTCCAGTGTGACATGCTCTCATAGCTGTGTGCACAGTCCCAGATAGGACTGCTGACTCTCCCCCCTGAACTATTTAAACTCTAGCTGTCAGTGTTTTCCAGCTTTTTGCATTCACAAACATATGTTAGGGCTCCGCTCCCACAGCAAGTGGCAATGCAGGGAATTTGATGGGGAATTGGAAGACTGGAGATCTATTTCCAGCTGAGTCTGCATGAGGATTTGTGTTCAGCTCCACTATTTGCAAAATATCTGTCCAGATCAGAATAAGCTTTAAATTTTAATATATTTACCTAAGGAGACAAGGCTTGGGAGAGCAATGAGTATAGATACATCTGGTTATTAGTTTCCCCAGTGAATTTTGAATCTGCAACTAATTCCAACTATAGGAGTAAAAAAGAAAATAAATAAAAAATACAATCTAAGACATTTTTCTAGCAACAGAGGAAAAATGCTAGTAACAACCTCAGCCAGCAAAGGAGAGACATTCTGCGTGAGATCAATGCTATGAATGTCTACACCTGGGGAGGCATTACACTTTGCAGCTTGCTAGACATCTTAAAACCCACACAGCAGAGAAACCGTGACTGACAGGTGAATTCTCAGATGTCTATTAAGGGTGAGCTCACGACCCAGCCTCTCATATAATTTAGTTATCAAGGCAGTGAGCCGCAGCGCTGTTTAAAACCACGCTCAGTTCTGCCGCTCGCAGCACTACTTGTTTGCCTTTTCTCGTTTCATACGTCACTGCTCACGACCACAGCCTTAGTACCTCAGTCCTTTACATACCCAAACATTTTGGTTGCTGCAGCGTAACCGAGTGGCTAAAGCCTCAGCATACGCACTACAGGGACCATTCCCTTCCACGCTAAGGAAAGGAAGAGACTAAATTACCAACCGGGTGATTATTGTTATTACCCCTTTCCACTTATTTACAGCACTTGAAACAGGCTAGTTGCTGGCATGGGTGAGGGCATCTTTCTGTTCCTCTGACTCCTGTGAACATCAGGAATGGACAAGGGCATATGTACCTTGTTTTGCAGACCAAGGGGTGTAGCTGGGCAGAGTCTTGCTGGTGTCAAGCCAAGCACTTACTGTGCTGGACAAGTATTATGTGATACAACCTTTCCATCTTCCAAAGAGTTCTTGCTTAGAGGCTCTCGAAGCATCTTGGATACAGCCACATACCCAGTACATACCCATTTGCCCTCCCTGTCCAGTAGATGAGCAGCTCTTGTCTGGGCTTTTCCAAAGTCTTCTGAGCTCCTAAGCTCTGTCTTCCTCAGGCAAAAGCTACCACTGCAGAGGAGGTTCATCACAGGATCTTGCTGTTAAAGAAAGTATCTTGCTATAGCCTGAACTCCACTGGTCTGTGGCCACTTTATAAACCTCACGGCCAACAAGAAATAATGAGAGATGTCTTGACATCTCTGTGTTCACATCCATTGGATACTTAGATTGTTTCTTACTTCAGGAAACAAGAGGCTTAGAAAATAAAAGGCTTAGAAATCACAGACTTTGCCCTAAATATCAGCTTTAGCAGCAGATATTCTTGCTAAATATCAAGAGAATGGGAGGTGGAGAAAGGGAGTGTGTGAGCTGTGGCTCTTGAGACTTTTTGCCTGGGATGTTTGCCTATTAACAGCTTGAGTCACCCAAAAAGATGGCACATCATCATGAACATTCACATATATCATTGCTCCTCCAGTGCACCCTTTAGGCTTCACAGAGATGTTATCTCCATACCTCTTTTCCCAAGATAGAAAGCATCTTGGAGCTACCAGCACATCTTCTGGCCCTTCTTTTCACAGGTTAGTAAATCCAAGACCTTTTCTTGAAGGGGCCTTTATCCTACTCCTGCCTCACATACCCTCAGCATAACTTTTCACATCTCTCCCCCCAAGAAGCTGAAAGCCTGAGCCCAGTCTAATTTCTCATTGGGTTCTCATTAGGCTCATTACAGCCTTACCCAGCTTGCTGCAATTTTGTGCTGATCAACACGGTCTCGATGGGCACACCCTTCAAGGAAGCAGCAGTTCCTAATTTTCTTTCCTATGAGATGGCCTCCTCCCTTTGCCATAAGCCTCCTTTCTATAACACACTGCCAGACCTGTCCCTTGCCCAGGTCTGACAGATAGGGCTGACTACAGCCACTCTTCCCCAGAGATGTCACCTGTGCCAGGGACCTTAAAAGAACCAGTTCCCCCAAGACTCAGTGCTGGTACAAAGACAAAACCATATTCACTCTATAAGACGTGGAAGCTGGGAAAGTGGCAGTAGTTTATAGCAGCTTGGTTTCTCTTCCGATGGTTTAGTATGGAGTGACGTACACGCATGACGGCTTGGGCTGGCGTGTGATGGGTGTTACGCTTTGCTCTTTATTGTGGTTTGTTTCACAACTACTCCTGACTGACAGATAAGTACCTGAAAGCCTGAAGACCATTACCCCTGCCCTGGAAAAAACAAACAGCAAACCACCAAACCAAAAACCAGTCTGTGGCAAAGAGAGTAGTTGCATTTAATTTATTGATCAATCAAAGCAGAGACCAATGAGCAACAGTCAAAGGAGCAGGGAAGATTGTGTGTGTTCTCAGGATTTGTAAGGGAAAAATCAGGCTGAAGAGCACAGCTCCAGTGCTCAGCATTCGCCACGGTACCTGAGGAACAGACCTTCCTGGCTCAATCTGAAGAGAAAGAGGGAGAACAAAATTACAGACGTGGATCTCAGCTTTATAGTCTAACTTTAGCCAAATAAGCCAATGCTCTCTGACTTATAAAGTACTTCACTTAATATTTCCTGATTCCCCAGGTTACATGCTTTCTCACATTAAAGAGATTTGGGGGAAAAAAAAACATAATTTCAGACACTTCTTACAGTTACAATTTAAATCACTTTGTCAGGGAGGGAGTCAGCAGTGCTATGAGCCTGCAAATGGGGATCTGGATTTAATTGCAAGGGAAGTAGAAGACTCACTCAGGCTTTAGATCTGCAGTGCCCGGGGGTGACAGAGGAGTGAGAGGAACATGGAGCAGGGATGGATTTACTGAGGGGCTAACGGGAGCTCCAGATCTTCCACACCAGCTGCTGCTGTTGTGTGTGTGCTCCAGCTCCTCTGGTTTCATGGCTATATGGTGAGCTCCATACTTACGAAACTGCATTGCAGAAATGGCACTGGTTTCCATAAGTTCTGCCATCAGAGCCACAAAGGGGGCTATATTCAGGGGTGCAGACGAGATTGTAGCCATTCTGTCCGCTGCAGTCAATCTCCTCCTAATAATGGAGCAACAATGGAACAAAACCAGGTTTTAAAGCTTTTGTTCCCTGTCTTTTCCTATATGAGTGCTTTATGTTTATTTAATGTTTATGGTATGGTAAAGCATGAAAGCAGTTTTCAGGTGCAGGGCTCTGTTGTTCTAGCAATTCTGCTAGCTCAGAGGCAGAGACCATGCTTGCATGGAGCATCCTGAAGCAGGCAGAAGTCAGGGGCCAAAGAATCTAATAAATACTACTATAAATAACACCATTCTGTGAAGTAGCGAGATAACCATGCTGCTGTTCCCAAGCTGGCCCTCTCACTGGCTGCTCTGGTTCAGCAGGCTAGCAGAAGCAAGTGTACAGAAAGTGGATGGTCACAAGCCACGCTGCAGAAAGCATTCCCACCTGAGAAATCACCACTACTAATAGTGCTGGCAGTACACAGCCCTCCTGCTCTCCTGCAGGAAGGATGAGACAGCACCTCTTGCTCATCCTGTTTCCTGGTAAATGTATGTGTCAGCACCCACTGACTGCTGTGTTCCCAGGTCAGAGAGGCAGCTGCATATCTGAGCCATGGATTTGATTCAAAGCCCTTTGACACCGGCATACTTCAACTCTTTTCCTCAAATCCTTTTTCCAGGCCAAATGCACAAGGCCAGCGTGGGCATTACTATTAATTAGTTAAGATTCAGTGAGTTTGTGTTGTAAAATGTATTGTAACAGCAGTGTGCAGATTCCTGCTCTTTACCCTGGCGCATTCTCCAAGATTGTTCAGGTCCATGTCCAGTCCGCTCCTTTGGGAAGAAAGTGAGTTGAGAATGAATGAGCACAGTGCAGCTGCTTCATGAGTCAAACTACTTTAAATACCAACATGAGCACCTACTGATCCCAGACCCCGCTCCCATGACCCAGGCCCTCCACTTACATCACAGCATTGCAGAAGTGGCACTTGTTTCTGTAGGTAATCCCGTTGGTGCCGCACATGGGCATGTACTCCATGGTGCATGGGTTCATACGACCCCTGATTGGTCTCAGGTAGCCACTACAGTCAAACTGAAACAGTCACAGAGCAACATTTTAATCTCTGCTCTCTTTTGCATTAATAACAGAGCAAAGTGTAAGAAGCATCTTCCCCTCTCCCCAGAGCTGCAAGGAGAGAGCAGCCCCAGAGTGGCTGGAGGAGTCGAAGGAGCCTAAACCATTGAAATCCTGCACATGGTTACAGCAGAAGCTGGAGGATCTGGTTTTTTCCTGTCTTGAAGTGGGCTGCATCCCTATCATCTTGTCTATTTTCACCGTGAATGCCACCATGAAGGATCTTTGCCTAAAATGCCTCCTACAGCAGCAACTTTTTGCTGCGAAATGTCAGTGCCACTTGAAAATGGAATTTACGCTCACCCCAGTGTTTCTGCAATTACTCTGAGTGTACCGAAATGGAAGTCGTTGTATTATGTTAAATTGCACAGCCGGAGTGGTTCTTTACTTTCTCTCTCTAAACTAAAAATAGAGATGCTTCTGCAACTCACAGTAGCTCCATACATTGATAAACAAAGTTTATGTTAAATGTTTTGACAGAGTTGTTTTTTTCTGTTACAAAATTACCATTTAATCAAATTCCAAACTTCCTCTGGGAATTTCTTGGCTTCAACAAGCCTCTAAGTCTACATCTGAAGAAAACTGGTTTGATAATGCTGAAGTGTTATTGAAAACAAAAGCTTCCATTCCGAAGTCTGGTTTTACAGAGAAGATAATGTTTGAAAACTCATTGAGTTTAACAGTTCATACAAAATGTAAAAGGACTTCTTGTAAATCTGAAATTCTTGTTTTTCATTCAACTTCTGACAGTTTGAAATTGTGTGGGTTTAATACAGAATTAATCTGGGGCAAGGTTTTTGTCTAGCTCTCTGCCATCATTTCACCCACCACTGCTTAGTGCACCAGGAGAAGGAGCTGATCTCAGACCATACCTTAACACATCTTCCATCATGCCTCTTGTCAATGGCTTGGTTACGGCTAGAGGGAGAGGGAGAGAGAGAGAAGGAAAGGAAGAATTATTCTGCTCATGCCATGCAGTCATCTCACTCACTAAATCTCTCCACTCATAAAGCCCCAGTAATTAATCAGATTCAGGAGCTCTGACACGGAAGATCACGGGCATTAAGGCAGACTGAAACTTATGAAAAATCTAGTCCACCCCCTGATTAGTCACAACCCCAAAGGCTTTTGTCTGCTCCTTGAATTGGCATTGTAGGTAACCAGGAGACCTTATACTCACAAGATTTCTCTGCAGAGGGAGCACTCATTGGGGTAGGTCACACCGTCAGTCCCGCAGATGGGGTTGTAATCACTGGGACAGTTAAACTCTGTTTCCTCAGAGAACGGGTACATGCCGCAGGAGGCCTGTCAAAGAGCACTTGTGATGTCTCCAAATGGAGAGAAGGGTGTGCTTATATGGATCCTGTTTTCTCTGTTTTAGGAGACTACTGTTGGTCTTTCCCCCCCCATCGTTCTTCCATGGTGAAAAAGAGAGGGAATAAAATCTAGCGTGTTTCTTACAGCATACAAAAGCACCTTTTTGCTATTAAGACTTAAAGTACTTTCTGCAAGAATTGCAGCCAAAATGATCATTCCCTGGGGAATCAAGACAGGGAAGATATTTAGGCAGTTATTCAATAGCTGTATAGATTTTCTGCTGGCACTCTGTGCTGTGCTGGCTCTTACTCTACATTATTAATCGCTGTCTTTTTTGTCACCAACATGGGAAGTTATCTTACTCTGACAAAGGTCATTTCTTATTTTGGGGAAAAGAGGTGGCATAATACTTAAGGGCACTTTTTTCTTCCTTTCTGTCTCACTCCCCTTTTTTGTTCTCTTTCAGCCTTTCCTGGGATACAGTAAAAGTATGAATTATTCATCTAGGCTTAGACATCAAGGCTAAATGACAAAGAAAACCTACTACTCACCAGTCGTTGAGCAGTAACAATATCTACAATAAAAACAGAGATTATAAAATATAAAAACTGCACAATGTCCTTGAATAAAATTCCCTTGGAATCATCAGTTTCCCAACAGAGTAACCAAATAGACATTCTCATTCCTGAGAAGTGATTGTTTGCCCAAGTTTTATTGATTCCAAATAAACAAGAAGTTATAAACTAAGATTAAAAAAAATCAATTATTTGTGAAACCAGAAGTTTTGACTCACTAAAGAAGAAATAGGATGTAAACTTTTCTATTTTTACAGCATTATTATCCCCACTAAGGCACATAAGCTTAAATCAGACAAATGCATCCTACCTATCTATAGTATTCATCAGCACAAGGATTAATTAATTAAGTTCATTAAAGGAGAATGTCTATCATCCCATCTCCAAAAGGCTGAACTCTCCTTTAGGATGTATATGTAAAGGCAAAGGCTCAGGAGGACTAGAGATACAAGCATAGCAAAACCAGCTTACCAGAAAGACAGCTGAGAAGCGCAAGCCCAAGAAGGGCGACACTTCTTGTTGTCTTCATAGCGGCGACAGTTGTATCGTCTGTTACTTGCAAATCTGTTGCTGTTGAGTTTGGTGGATGATTCTCAGCTTTCCCTCTCTGCACTATATATATACATCCCCTGGCCTCGTGAAGTCAGCCCAGAAAGTAATTATTTGCTCTGTAAACTAAGAAAAATATATCGATT